TATGGTTTATTTTAATGAGGTGCTAATGAAATATATGCCAAAAAGACCGCTATAGTGATTAATAGTCCCCGTTAGAATCGAGAGAAAAATCTTAATTGGGTCTGCGCTTCTAATTACTTTGCGTTTTACCAATTCATTTTCGATTCGGTTCTGGAAACAATTAATAATTTAGTTTATTCAAATTGAAATAAATAAAACTTGTGGTGGTTACAGTTGCTATTTATACGTTGATTAAGCGCAAGGATTTTCCTTTGTATTCGAATATTTAGAGCGACTTTTGGTAACCCAGATCTAGAATGTAGTTCACGTTCTATTGAAGAAAATATACTGGCTTTAAAGGTAAATTTTAAAATTGTGATACGTTTTTAGAATGATATTGCTGTGCGAAAGAAGTAAAATCGTTTATTAGTTATTTTTAAACCTTTTTACCAAATTTTGTTCACCTGCATGCACATTTATTGAACTTTATATAATATTAATATTTTTTACTTGAACTATATCGGTGACTTGAGTTTTGCTCTGATACAGTAAACATTGCCTTAGAACGGATCAACTACAAAGCAAAATAGGCTACAAATCTTATAGAATACTCCAATTCTTCAATGCATAACATCGGCCAAAAATAAGATGTTCTAGCTGYGATTATGCAAAAAGGGGGGCTGAGAATGAATTACTTTTAAAATTAGTTTTTTTCACTAATTATGTAGTAAAAATAAAATAAAAAACAAAGGATTTCTTACCAATTATTAAGTAAAACCTATTTAAAAAGTGCCAAAACTCAAAAATACAATTTTCGCGGAAACGTTCTCAGAAATACTGGATTATCAAGTCGAGGAGATGAAATGAGAAAAACGTGTTTACGTAGGGGAAAAAATTATAATAAAGTTGTTTTTAATATTTTTTTCAAGTGAATATTTATGCATCCTTTTGTTCTAAGTACTGTGCAATGTAGTTTCCTCAAGGGACAAATACAATTTCGAGTCTCTCTGAATTAACGGCGTATCTTTACTACAGTTGAAGTTCATTCGTTTGTTTTGAGCACTCGAACTCTAATTCCGTTCTATTACCAATGATTGCAATAGTTATTTATGAACAGGCACAGGTTTTGAGTTGTTTTTGTATGTCATGAACTAAAAAGACCTGTAAACCCATGCTGATCTGTCCGTCAATATCACATATAATTCCCAGCTAAATTATCGTATAATGTATCAAAAATTTAGAATATCAAATGTACAGTTCAACTAACGAACTTTCCTATGTTGATGTGTTGAATAACAACGAGCGAATAAAAAGGCAAACACCTTGTAAAAACTTTTTCCAGTAACCATACTTTCGTCCGAGTAAAATGAATTATATCCCAAGTAAATACGAAAACAAAATATTTGGCGAGGATTATTAAAAAAATTATTCACCAAAGCACATAATAACCAAGAGAGTTCCTAAAGATTTTGGTGAAAACTGATTAACAGATGAAATTGGTACGAGTGAAAGCGATTCGCTGCGTGGGATTATTCCGTATTTGAAATAACGCTATTGTCTTGTTTAGTTGATGTGTTTTGTTCTTATTCGCTTTCTATTTGTCGTTTTGAAATTCTGATGAAAAAAATTATTATATTGTGCCTTTTATTTCATTGTTTGTTTGTTTGTTTGTTTGTTGTTGTTGTCGTTGATGATGATGATGTTGTTGATGTTGTTGTCATTTTCTTCTCTTGGCTTTTCTTCTTTGAAGTTTGAATTTGAAATTGGTCATTACAAACTGACTCAAAACTGTATCATCTATAGTATTCCTTTCCTTTCCTTTCCTTTCCTTTCACAAATTCTCTAACTATTTTCTGATATATTCAAGGCTTGTTCAGTTCTCGACAAGCTATATAACACGATTATAATGTATTATGACTGATTTCTTTGTCAGATTGGGATGAACCATGGTTGAAGTAAGAAAACTGTTGTCCGCGGTGATCTTTACTTTACTGTGGTTCTTACTTTTAGCGAGGGATTCAAGTCAGCAAACTCCGAAACAAGACATTTACATTGGTAAGGAACTTGAAGCAACTGAGTGAACCTTATATATCTAAGAACTTGAAGCAACTGAGTGAACCTTATATATCTAAGAACTTGAAGCAACTGAGTGAACCTTTATTCTCATACTCATGAATAAGTAATGAGGAGAAAACAAAGCAAATCACTACTGTGACGGTGGTTTGGAAATGTGTTCTTAATTTGCATTAAATTTCGTAAACGTTTTCTTTGATTTTCTCCAGGAAATATTCATTAGTTTGAGAAGTAATTTCAAACACTTGAGAGAGTTCTTCCTCCGATTTCCAAACGGCTGCGCCTCGTTTTTTCAACTCACTTTTCGGTGTTTGGAAATCGTAAGAAGAACTCTCTCGCGTGTTTGAAATATTACATATTGAAAGTATCAATTCTAAGCGGGACGCTGATGAAGTTAAGATTAAATGCCATCCCAACCGACATATTTACCAATTAATATTCCAACAAACAAACATACTAAAACAATATACCTTTTTAGCTTCGTATGCAGATTTGCCCATTTCAGATCACATGACATTCCCTTGAGAACTGTTCTTTTCTGACGAACATGTTAAAATATTTACACATGAAAGAATCAACTCCCAAGAGTGGCATCACATGGTCTGAATTGTACACAACAAACGACGAAGCTAAATAGGTCTATAATCAACGATAATATAAACACCAATCATTAGACTAACAGAGTGTTATGTATAATGGTTAAAGGATGTCGACACTAATGATCAAGATGATTTTATTGTCACTGCTGAAGTGAACAATCCAGAGCTTTGATTTTAGAGTAGCCCACACATCCTAATTTCATATGGCTGCCAAAATTTGCCTTGAGCTTTAGTAACAACTAAGCTAATAATTCGTAATGGATTTTCTTTATTTCAGAAGTACTTGCCAATGGTTACGTATCACGTGAGATCATGACGTCACTGCGGTATGCAGTCAATAAAACTGCATCTGGGAATTCCTCGGTAAACTTCCACATTCGTACGGTATCCATCACACTGGGGCAACCCGACCTGTTTGAGTATGGTAGGTATCACTGTATATAATTTCTGGTTTACTCTTGTAGTACAAACATAGAGCAGTTTTCGTATGACTGTGAAAAGTTCGCGGCACGAACGTAGTCGTGACAGGGCAAGAGATACGTCGGATCAATTAAATTGCGTGAGGAATTGCTCTCCATCCCGACAATCAAATGCCCGGAACAGGGCATGAACACGGCGTGGACACGGTCACCGTAAAGTACACGGCACTGCCAGACTGCAATCTCATTGCGCAAGAAAATAATCAGCCAATTAAATTTCTAGAAAATTTCATTACCAGTCATACGAAAATTGTTCTAAGTGGAATGCGTGTACGACTCAGATGTCAATGCATGCTCATCAACAGCAATCGACCAGGGCATAAACAAAGGTCGTAGTTGCTTTCAAGCTTGAGTTGCAAATGTGGATAAGTTCAATCCTCAAGAGAAGGAATACTTTTGCTTTGACCCCCAGACTGGGAATATACCTCATTTTTGCGGCGTAATATTTTCCCATACTAGACCACGTGTCATTCCCTAGAGTATAATTTCTTTGTTTAACGGTTGTAAACGAGCATCGAAGACGCATGAATATTGATACAACTCAAACAAAGAATCTTATTTTCAAGAAATGACCCGTCATCTGAAATGGGAAAACATTATGGGAAATTGTTACGCCCTAGGTAAAGAGGTAGGGTAGTGCAAAGGGTCTAGAATTATGATTAATTACAGCCATTTTCAATCACACGCGCCGCTCTAGCGATTTTTTCTGTCGCGACGAAGAAAGTTTTGGTGGACGTCAATCACAAGGCGTTTCCATAACATTGTCGGAAAACACAAAGCTATAAGGGCACGTGCCTATAGAATGTCATGGAAACGCCTTGATTGACGTGCACCAAAAGCTTCTTCGTCGCGACAGAAACAATCGCTAGAGGGCGCGTGTGATTGAGAATGACTGCAATGTATGTTGGGACTTGCCTCTTTCTCTACCCAGCCTCATCTATCAAAAACAAAACGACAGTCTTCATCGAAGACAACCAAATTTCCCAGATATCGTGCATAGTAAGTTCTCTCACACGATCTCCGCTGGTCAGCCTAAATGGCAGACCACATGAGCTCTTGGAAGTTGATCAATGTCGCTACGTCATGTCCGTATCGGCCAACTCAGAAAGCCACAGTCTGGCGACCAGAGACTTGGTAAAGATGAATCCAAGCTGGACCAAGATTGTCATTCTATACGAGAGTAAGTACTATAAGCCTTCTGGTATTTCTGTGGCTGTAGGAGAATTATCCGATGTACTAGACATTCCAGGATTGAGCAAAAGACTGGGTCGAGTTGTATTTGCAGAGCATTGTGGGACTCAGGAGACATTAGTTTCAAGATGGCGTTTATTTGCAATAGACCTCTTTACCTTTGTATGCAAATTGCCCATTTCAGACCACGTGACATTTCCTTGAGAGTTTGACCCCCAGACTGGGAATATACCTCAACTTTGCGGCGTAATATTTTCCCATACTAGACCACGTTGTTATTTTATGATAAACGTGTTAAAGTTTTAACATAAATCAGATGGTCTGAAATGGGCACAACAAACGACGAGTGTAAAAGAGGTCTCCGCTTCGGCTCACCTATGTATGTGTTAAGTCAGGTAAACGTTTACTCATAATTTGTACCACTGCTCTAGTTAACAACCTTGCTAGCTTTCATCTGAAATCAGGCTTTTTATAGTTGCCTGCCTGATGGGGTGATGTTATACATTCCTACGTGGTTTCACTGCTTTGCACGATTTAGGTTGCGTAACATTATAATTAAAAATGACCCTACGCGGAGTCAAAAGAGAGTATGGAACCGACTTTTTCTAATCTGTCTATGGTTTTAGAGTGATTTTCCTTCGCCCTTGAATGAATAGTCAAAGTAATACATAGTAATAGACGCTAATTCTATTGTTTTCTTTTGTTATCGCGCTGTTTGTGAGGCACAAAAGGTCCTTAGATTCTTTGTGACAGACACCTGTTTCGACTGCTGCGTTACGTCAAAAAGTAGAAAACGCGCGCATGCGTTGAATACAGTTACAAAGCTTGCGGGGATTTGGCAAAACACAATAGAAATAACAGGAGAACCACAACCCATATCATCTTTTCTAATTCAGTGGAAGAAGCAACACACGTAGCTCAGCTACAACTCGAACTGGCCAGCGAAATGTCCCGAATACATCTTGTTTTGATGGAGAACAGAGTCAATGAGACTGACTCTATTCTTTTGGAGAGAATCTGGAAAACCATAGTTAAAACAAAACCCCAGGCTATAATCCCATTGGTCAGCGATGCCTTCATCAAAAGTCTGTTGCAAATGGTAAGACGAGACTTTAAGGTCTGGCTTCCCCAAACCCTTGGGACTCTTGCTTCGCGCCACTAGCTGAAACATGATTTCATTGAAAAGTGCACACACAGTATAACCCCTAGCTTTGGTCAAAGTTCTTGTGAATTTGGCGGGAGATTTTGTGCCAACACGCGCGTGTGCCCCAAACTCTGTACTACTCTCGTTACGTCACTTTCCTGAATTAAATCTCACATAAAGACTTAGTAATCAAAAGTTAATGAGCACCAATCAACAGCTTTGAACTGAGCAACTGGGTTTGGAAATGTTGCTAACTGACTCTTTTACGTTTTTCTTGTGGTATATACTTAAGGACCTGCCCAAAAATGTGAACAGAAATCATTAATAGATTATATATTTTTTGATCGTGTAGCAAACATGTTCTCTGCAAAATCCAGTGACCTGGTTGATACAAGGAAAGGTAAGTATAATGGAGTACTGTAAGTGATAGGTAGCACGTGCTCGAATACCTTAGTTTGTTAAAGTTTTGCGTGAGAAAAAGGGCATTACAAAAGACTTCTTCTCATTAGTTTCCTTCATCAATTTCGTCGTCGTCTACCTCCTTTTCTCCTTCTCCTTTTCCTTCGTCTACGTGCTCTTCTTCTTCTTCTTCTTCTTCTTCTTCTTCTTCTTCTTCTTCTTCTTCTTCTTCTTCTTCTACGTGCTCTTCTTCTACGTGCTCTTCTTCTACGTGCTCTTCTTCTACGTGCTCTTCTTCTTTGTCATCTTCTCCTTTTCCTTTTCTTTTATCATTAGCTAGCCACTCTTAAACCGTACAATACCAAAGAGTGATCTTCAAAGCCAAAAAAGAATGTGCAGACTTTTCATATTTCTTTTCTTTTCTTTTAGTTTCCTAGCAACCTGACATCAGTCGGGCAAAACATCGTGGTCGCTTTCCAGCTGCCAGTCACAAACGAAAGCGAAACACAAGAACTGAAAACAATCCTTAAAAACAATGGGGATTTGCCAACAATGACTTCATGGATGGAGGTAAGAAAGTCGCACATTTTTTTTGTTACCTCTGTAAGAGATTTATAACAAGATTTTAGGCTGCATTTATTATGTAGAGACATGTTAAGGGATATCTTAAGGGATACTTCCTAATTCCATTTCAGGAGGGTCCGCTGCTTTCCCATGATGCACTACTGTTRGTTGCCAAGGCAGCTAATGACGCCATCCATGATAGCCGTTGGAATGCCAGCGCAAACGACAGTTCACCTTATCCTACAAATGGTGAATTGCTTCGGGAATACATCTTGAATGTTAGTACTGGGACACTAGATAGTTTATATTTTCAACCTGGCAGAGTGCAAACAATATCCATGAAATAGCACAAAAATCTAAATATATATTTTTTTGTTTTCAACTGTTTCTTTGGTGCCATTTTGCACTAATTAGCCCGGTTAGTACTATTTCAGAGATATATGATTTATCATCATACCCCAGCTAAGAAGGTTTTTATTAATATTTGTAACGAAAGATGGTTTTGCACAATTTGCATGGAAAAAAATCATCATGATGACAATCTACTGAAACTTTCTTTTAAGACAAGCGTTAAGGGTTTCACTGGCACCACCAAAATCGATTCCCATCTGGAACGAGAGGTCGAAGAACTTCAAATAATAAACTTACAAAACAATATGCATGTTAAGGTGAGTGTCTGTCAACGGTCCTCTGGTCACGTGTCATGCCTTCTTCATACCATGTGAACTAAATATTATCTTCTCTTAACGGCTCTCCCAAATATTTGGTCACAATTATTCAGCTCTTGACCTCCTTTTATCCATCTTTTGATGTCAGTTCTACACCAGCTTTTCCACATGCCAACACCTACAATGTTGGTGAAAGATTTTCAACGTTCTTCGAATTACATACACGTTATGAAGAAACTTCTAATTGGAAAAGGGTTCCTCTCCTTTAACCTCAACAAATCGCCCCTCTCTACCAGTTCCTCAAAGATACACACACGCGTTATAAATAGACTGCCAATTGGAAAAGGGTTCCTCTCCATTAACCTCAAATCGCCCCTCCCTACCTTCCTCGAAGATCCATACATATTATGAATAGAAGGAATACAGGCATCCTAGGGCCACTAGATGTGCCAATTGTACGAGTGACAGGTAATAGTATATCTCAACTTGGTACCTATGGTTAGTCAGTTTTTTCTTTTCAGATCGGTAATTGGTCCAAATCTGGTAACGCTGTTCTTCACAAACCAATGTCTATAAACGTTGTTGCAGAATACTGCAAGCAGCCGCCTCTAAGGGGGCACACTCTTCGGATTACAACTGTAGAGGTATGAAGTAAAATAATCAGAAACGATTCCACAAGTCTTATCCCATACCAACACAGAGGTGCGATGGTAAAAAAAATATTTACATCACCACAACCTCATCGTGATATAGAGACAAGTTGCATAAACATGTCTCAGGTCAAAGTTCAAAGTTCAGTTTGATGGAGGGAGAAAAAACCGGAATCCCAGAGAAATCATCTCTTCAGAAAGTCGACAAAAAACTGATATTCACGTTCGAGCTATGAATTCCAACAGGGAGGAATGGGTGATTGATTTCCATGTCCACCATTTTGAATTTAACGCAATGCATTCTGGGTTGTGAAAATGGGCAATAGGCTGCACTTTACTACTGTGCTCGTATAGTATTGAGATCCCAACCTTAATTGCCCTATTCACTATGACGTCACATCAAAACAATCTATTGTTTAAACGCAAAGGATCATGGTCGTCGGACGGGGTCAAATCAACGCAAATTTACCGAACATTGTTCTAAAACCCGTATCAATCCACGAAGAGAAGTAGAATAGCCAGCAAACGCTCAGAATATTTTTTTAGTACATATTAACACATATTATATCTGAAAACCAGGCTATTTTAGATTAAACTGTTTCGCTAAGAGCAATTTTTGTTGAATTTTCTATTGGATTTGGAGATTCTATTCCCAACATAAACAAGCAGTGACGTCATAGTGAATTAGGGCAATTGTTTCTAACTATTTTATCAAACACTGCACTGAACCAACCTCTGGGCTGATCAAAGTCAGGACACGGCTAATTCAAAAATCCAATAGGAATTTAGCGGATTACGTTTCGCAGAGGAAGAAAAACTGAAGAAAAATCCTCGAATCAAGGGAGACAAGTTTTCTCCTATGCTTTGACTTTTATCTCTACCGGAGTGACTCCCTCACAAAGCACTTTTTTTAAGGTCCGCTGGAATGGAGTTTGTGCAACCATGTGACTCAAAATCCCTTGAGAGATGAATAACAATGAAACATCCGCCATCTTGGTAGATCTAACAAGAGAAGCTAATGAGGAATGCTTTGTTATCGTCAACCAAGATGGCGGCAATGGTGTAACATGCTCTATTGGCCTTTGCTCAATCGAGCACAAGCCAATGAATTTGATTTCTGATGCCATCTATCGAAATCCTTTCATTGCATAGAGAGAAATCCTTTCATTGCATAGAGAGAAATCCTTTCATTGCATAGAGAGAAATCCTT